TTTTCTGAACCTTGTTTTTCAAAATAGACCTCTTTTTTTCAAAAGATGTCTATTTTGCTAATTATTTTACAAAGTGGTCTATTTCGCTATATATTTCATAAAAATGATCTATTTTGCAAATTTTCCCTTAGAATTACTTTGTAAATTGTTGATGTAATTTAGGTTGTCTAGATCTGAGAACATGGATGCTGACATGGGTTTCCATTGTTCAGATCCTAGAGTGCACGACACGGAAACCTTTCAAAAGTCTAATAACCTTAGATGTTAGATTTATCAATTTAGTATTATTTTGTTTATGTTGCCTGTAAAAGCCCCAATACTTCAACAGATTATGGTATTGTCATAATTTTATTGGTTAAAGTGTAGTTGGTATTGCCATAGATTTTGCATTTGTGGGGGTTATTGAACCCTGAGTTCTTTGTTTGTTTTGGTCTCATCTTCTTGTTTGAAGCGTACAAACAATGTTGATCGGATAGCGGGAGTCGTATAAGCAAAACACGCATTTTAGAGGAAAAATCAGGAAATCGTAAAATTTAGCTGCTAGGGAGGAAAGGAGAGATCATTTACAAATATCATCTGTCACCTTAGAGGCCTATACAATTTGTTGATCCAAAGCTTGTTTGTCCTACCATGTACTCATCCTTGCTGTTTGCTAACTTTAATACAATATTCATGGTAGAAGTATGACAGGATACTTACGAAATTGTGAGCAGATAGGGCTTAATGCATGTGGCTTAATTTTTGTATATAAAACCTCATGTATCTCACTAAATAGGTAGTTTGATTATCTTCCCAATGCTTTCTAACCTATCATTTGTAGTTGCAGACATGATGTCAAATGCAGATTCTAATACGGGGTGTCGGGCATGACGGTTTTTCAAAATCCATATACAAAGATGCTTTATATAAGTATTACTTCTGATTATATCTATATTTGACTTATGTGTGCATCAGTCTTTATTCTATGGAAAAGAACTAGAAACTAATATGAGAATAACTAGTTTTTGTCAAGAAGGGGCATAAGTTACTAACATCGTGTTAGTATTTCTAAGGTGGATGATGATTCATATTTGCAAATGTCTGATTGGACGGTCAGGTTTTTTGTGTTCGGTTTTTGGACATGCCAAATTTTTGATGGGGGATGTGCCCCACATACCCTAGTTCCTAGCAGACCTGAGCTTTGATTATTGGTAGGTTATCCTTAGTAGTCCTTCTATGTGTGGACTATGATACACTTAGGTTGGACCTTGTAGTCTAGGTTTCTTTGTGGTTTAGTAATAAGAAAAACCCTAAATATGTAGTACATGCTGGGGCATGATGTTGATGCTTCATTCAAATTTTCATTTATCCTGTGAACATCCTGAATAGGAGTTTAGGTGTTGAATTTGATTAACTTAATGGAGGAGATGGCCTTCTAACTGAATGGAAGGATCAATTCATTTTAAAGGCTAGTCAGTACTCACATATGATGTTTTTTGACGACTAAATTATTAAAGCATTTTTTAGGCATCATTCTAGATCCTTCTCGTTTTTCCAATTTTCAAATAGACTAAAGTCTACATGGGCAAAAAGAGCGGGTGTAGCAGAAATGAGGGTGTCATGATGGTGTTGTGGATATACAACAAAAGATACGATGAGAAATGAGTGCATTTGCAGGAGATTAAAGGTTGCTCCTACCGAGGATAAATGACAAAGAATCGATTGATGGTTTGACCATGTATAACAGAGGCTTGTAATACACCAATTAAGAGAATTTTGAGCAAACAGGATTAGAGGTAGACCTAAAAGAACATGTCTAGAAAGAACTAAGAATGGTACAATCATAGTTAACCTAACGGATGAGATGACCCATAATAGTAATGAATGGAAGATTAGGGTTAGTAGCCAAACCTAAAAATTTGAGGCAAAAGCTTTGTTGTTGCTCATGTTCTTCTTCTTGTTGTTGTTGCTACTATTGTAAACACAATAAAGTCACTAAACTAAGAACTCTAGCTGTCGATTTATCTTTTTCCTTAGTCATTGACTTTCCTAAGGGCTCATTTAGTTGCCTGCTGCTCGGAAACTTGGGACTTGACATTAAAATTTGAGGAAACACCAGTATGACTTTGTTTTGTCTAGGGTAACTCGACTATTACTTTAAATTTCTAGTGGACTGAGGTTCTATATACTACATCCAAATCCTAGGTTTTCTCATAGAGGTTGCATATCGCCATATGATTTGAAAGTTTGCTGATTAACTCCAAATACATCCAATTGAATGGCAGATGTTGGAATCCAGTAGAGTGGCTGGTGTGGAACATCTCAATTACATGTAACCAAACATCAACTGAATGTGAATTTTCATGGCTATCAACTCTGTGAAATTAAAAATCCATTTGATACATAAAGAACTGAGCTCCATTTTCTTGTGGAACTAGTCTGGTGAAATTAAAAAAGCTCAAGTATCATGATGCAGGTTTTTAGTCCAACGTTTCTAGTATTCACCAAAATCTTGAACTGACCATGTTGGTATTATTAGTTAGAACTGCCATTCCTCTGCTACAGATTATGCACTTGCATATAGGCTGAAAAGTTGGTCGAGATGTCAGAAGCTCAGGCAATATCTTTGTCTACTTGCATTATCAAAGTATGTTACATGTTGAAATGTTTCTTATTGGGACTGCAACTCTTAGTCCAAAAGCAAACATTTAGACCACACACAGTCAACAATACTGTAAGATCAGAATTTCTACATCTATAAGCAAACTAGGAAGAAGATTGTTTAAAGGGACAGTTGGAACTCCTGGTATCACATTTCTTCATAACTTTCACGTGATCAAATCAACTTTATTGTGCTCAAAGATACATATTAATTAGTGGTTTTTAAATTGCAGATCCAGTTTGCTTCCAAAGGAATTAGACCTTTTATAGGTGTTTCATCGTAATAGATCATTAATTGTCAACTGTTTCTGTGTTAAAAAAATGATTTCACTTAGCAACTTCTGTCTAATCTCTTGGGATAGCAACTCATCTGTGTGATTTGACAGAGAGTACTGAGTGATCTTCCTTTACAACGAAGCAGAAGAAATGCATCAGTAAACATGGGAGAGTTTGATCTAAGCAGATCTCCTAGGACTCTCAAGTAGCCTGGGGCTACTTGCTGCGGTGTTTCTAGGAGAAAATATAATGCGACACATCTTTATGTAAAAATAGTTCATGTAGCTTCATTATGGTATTTGAGATTACGAGTTTGCGGAATATTTTCTTGAAGACGGCCTCGTTGTTGAGAATATTAATCATTTCCATTGTTGTCACTTCGCTCTTCATTTTGTGAGACCCTTACTTCACCTTTTGTTTAATTTCCATTGCCAAGCTCCTTGCTGATGCGCAAATTCTGTTTACCTGCGTGCATATTTATTATTTTTTGCATGTCCCTTGACCAATTCTCCTTCTTCTTCTTCTTTGCTGTTGCTATTATTAAGTACCAATAACTGCTATCAACATTCGATTCATGTTTTCCGTTCTTGTGGCTCAGGTTATCGCTAGGAGAAAGCCTGGATGGAGTAAAAGGGGCATTCAATTAAAAGAACCTGCATCCCTGTTTCTCTTACCAAATATTTTGTTATTGAGCATGCTTATTCACCATCTAGTTGTATACTTTGTTATAATAGAAATTCCATCATCTCTGCATTTTTTTTTTCTAATGATTTCCCTGTTGCTTTATTTCTACTTCCAAACTAAACAAAAACCGTATATATGACCGTTCCACTGATGAACGAAGAGATTCTTCAAAAATTTTGTAGAACATTCTCTGTTCAATTAATCCCTATGGGAAGTACAGCCCTTAAATTTTGCATGTTAGAGTTTCTCATGAAAATTTTCGGTTTATTTTACCTCGTCTTGGTGATTGGTTGAGAGTGAAATAAGAGAGAAGGGAATGAGAACATCAATAATAGGTTTGTTTCCACTAACGATCACGGTCTTGCTCTTTTCTCCATTTGTAGTTCCATTTCAATATCAAAATAATTTCTTTTCTCCATTGAAATATAACTGCCTCTATCCCCGTTCATGAATGAAGTTAAAACTAGAAATTTAAAAACAATAAGCAGACATCTCACAATGGTGAAATACCGAGAAAAAAAATTACTCGGAAGGGATGGCTTCAGTAATCAATGAAGAAGTTAAATGGCGGATTAAGTTTGATCCCGTTGCACCAAATCAACAAGTAAAACTAGATAAATGATTTCAATTAATAAAAAAAACTTGCCGAAAACTGGTGAGGGTATATAAGTGCAACATAGTTTAAAACTATCAGGTAGTTAAGTGCAATTAAGCCACACGTTTTATCAGTTTGTATGTCTATTTAAGAGGCGAGCATCAATAAAGCTTTCTAGTGAATATAATTAATTTGTTTTTACTGAACTTGACCTTGTGATAGTTTTTATATTTTTGTTAATAATCCCTAAAAGGAGTTCTCAAGACTCAAACGTTATTTGCATATATACCACTTAAGTCATGGGTATTTTTAAAAATACCCTCAAATCTTAGTATTTTCAAAATTACCCCTCAAATCATCAACTTTGTGAAAATTATACCCCTAAAATCAACTTGGTGCTAAAAATGTGTCTGTTTTGTTGATAACTTTTACATTGTGATTACAAATTAGCTTATCAAAGTTAATAATTATTTACTTTGACGGTTTTTTTTGCGAAAATTAATGATTTGAAGGGTAATTTTGCAAATACCGAGATTTGGAGGGTATTTTGCAAATATCGATGTTGTAAGGGGTGTGAATGCAAATAACCATATAAGTCAATACAAACTAGTAAACTTATATTGGGCATCTTACTGATGCATACATATTGTTTCGAATCCGGCTATCGTTGGACCAAGTTACTCGAACATGAAGCTACAATAGAGCAGTTACCTGTTACGCAAAATTTGCAGAAACAACGCCGGCATAAAAGACAACAAACCATCTGCGTTGTCAAACTTGCTAAGGGCTTTCAAGAAATAAGATATATAGAACCAGCAAAAACCGTACATTGCATCTGAGACCGTTCTTACATCGATCACAATTTCAAGATCTCAAAGTAGAGTTCAAATATTCGCTCAATGGTGACATCCAAAACAGTAAAAAGATAAGAATAAGAGCTTGATAAATGATAAGCGTACATCTTTTCACATAAAAAAGATTTGAAGATCAACACGCGTGCTTCTGGATTCAGACGCTACAGTCGGCGAAACTGCATTAGCCCCCGTGCTGCTACAAAGTCAAATGGTAAATAATGAAATATGATTGGCATAGACTGCTCTGATTCAAGGGGGCAAATATATATATATATATATTTACAGGCATCTGGGCCCTCCAACTTTCTTTCTGCTTCTCAAAAACTTCGAAATCTCTTCCAACTAGTTCAAGTATATTAGCATTAGAAAGATGATATGGCAATCGAGTTGTCCTACCACTTTACAATAACTTGAAACTTTTTTGCCCCTCTCAAAACTGTATTCATTATCCAAATAAAATTGACCCCTTGGTCAACGATCTTCCTCCTCGCTGCTTTCAATAAGGACCAGAGCCTTTTTCTTTCTCTGCCTCTTATTGTCTTTGTTGTCACTGCTTTCAGCTGGCCTCCTCTTTCTGATATTTTCACTATCTCCAGCTTCTGTAGCTGCACCATTAGGTTGGTCCTCATCCATGTACTGCTGTATCAGATCAATAATCCTAGCACCGTATTTTTCTGTCTTTACCTTTCCAACTAGCTTCTCCAGCTGCAATATAAACTCTTCATGTCAAACATATATAAGACAAATAATATTAAGCGAGAAGATCGCAATGCACAATGTGAGAAACTCTTGCCTCCATTATGGATTTTGGTATTTTGGTGCTCAGCATGTTGATTTGTTGAGTAGATAGGACAGCATGAGGGAATATTCCTCCGTGGTTTAAAGATAATTCCTTCCGTAGTTCATCAAGCTTAGTTTCCAGTACCGATAATTGACATCGTTTCAAATCTTTTAAGGAGCCATTCTTCTCATGCAACTGTCTGATGCATATCTCAAGCTTAACTGTTCTTTTTCCTATGACAATATAATAATGCATAAGCTGTGTCATATTAATAGGTCCTTTTGATGTGTGCATTTGTGTGTGAATTTGGACCAATATTTTCTGAGCCAAAGCAGATGGCACTTAATGTTGTAATTGACAAACTGAGTTAGGCTTTAGGTAGCAAACAGAATAAGTACATTATGCTGGCAATTTTGAGCGGAAAATGAATTCAGTGAATATAAATATGGGTTGATTTTACAAAACGCCCTAAAGTTTATCCCCTTGCGTAATTTTACCCACCCATGTGAAAACTGCAGTTAACGCCATTAGGGTTTTTTTTTCCTAAAAAATGTTGAAAGTTGAAGGGGGTTTTCTGAGAACCCCAAACCTAAAGGAGGGTTTTGTGACATTTTGAAAGCTAAGGCAAGGTTTTGTGACATTATGAAAGTTAAGGGGGATTATGTGAGAAACGCCCAAATTTAAGGGAGGCTTCTGAAATTTACCCTAAAAAGTATAAATATCATATAACAGTCACGCGAGTCACCTTCTAAAGGCTCTTTCTTTATTTTTCCAAACATTTGTAGATACTTCAGTGGTTGATGTCGTTACACTGGGAGACATAAGCTAGTCCAAGTCCATGTAAACGTGTCTGTTGTGCTTACTGTTTTAAAGATGAAATACCACTAAGGGGAAATATTACATTCAGTGCAGAAAATGATACAGAAAGGTTTATTTTAGTCTGTACTTAAAAGGAGAAGAAGGATAAAGATCATGATGTAATATTTCACCTTGAGATGCTTGCTTCCAAAGTGGTCCCAATGCAACATATGCATTGGTAGCATAGGCTGTATGTTGAAATTCTTCTTTCTACAAGGGAAAAAGTAAACTGATTGTTACCATCAAATCTAATAGTTTAGGTTAAAATGGCAGAAAAATAGTCAAGGACCAGAAGATTAAAAAAAGATTTTCTTTTCTATAGGCAAACATACAGATGACATGGCTGTTTGTAAACTGTAATTAATAGAGAAATGTTTCGTTAGCTTTAATTTGTATATGGTCCAAATACAAATTGATAGAATAACATGAGGAACTATGATATATGCTTCAATGAAGATTTATCATTTATAATTACTTATAGATGCTTATTAACAAAACTTTTGACTTATCTAGAATTCACAAGCATTGTATTTTCTCCAATAATACATATCGATGGGTACAAGCTTAAAAGAAATTTTTTATACAAAAAAAAAAACATTAAAAACATTAACTGTCAAGCTTCATGACGCATGTCCCAGCTTTGCTCCAGTTTCCTACCAAAACATAATATATATATATATATTATATATAATATATGATATATATATAATATATATATATTATATATATATGATATATTGTAGGTTTAGTATGATTCAGGCGTTGTCATGCAGTCATTAAAAAAAAAGATTTAATGTAATGTCTGACAAAGCAAAGAAAGGATAGAAGAAATTACCCAAAATTTATACAGTGTACAGATCAAAGAAAATTTAAATTAAGAGATAAGCAGTTTAGAGAATCACATTATGTGCGCCAGCATATGCTAGTAAGAAACTGAACCATTAGTGATTTGTTTCCATGTAAGATGAAAAGTGAGAAGTCCCACCCTGAGCCCAAGCTCTCCCATCATGTATCTTGACTACTCTCTTTCTTGATTTAGACCTGATGCAAAATGATTAATCTCTGTTGCATGATCTTAGGCTTTGATACCCTTTCAGCCCTCGTTCGGTATCCCTACTGGTTTTCCATCATCTTTGCCTATTACTCCTCTCTACGGAAGTTCTCAACAAAATATACCTCAAGGTAAGGGCAAGGCAATCATTTTCCATGGGTTGGAGGAATCAGATCAACTAAAGGTAAAGGTGTTTGGGGTTTGCCAACAAATGTTGAGATCTTACCTTGAACATGATTCATAGAAGTTTAGACAATGTCATTTCTGATATGGACAGTGTCGCAATTGGTAATTCTCCAATATACAAAAGGGACGAGATACAAATGCAAATGTATTTTTTTCTGAAGATATGTGTTTTACAATAATAACGATATACAAATAGACATTTAGTTGTTATCTAAAGATGAAATAGATTTGTTGAGTAAAATGAATTCTACAAATTAGCTCTTGCCAAAAAAGAGCATAACAAACTTCAGTTCTGATGAACTTTTTCAGCTGAATAAAGGTTCGCATTTGTCAGTATCAGATGATGATAAACAGTCAAATCCTGGGACATGGCTATATTAGATAAGAATGTCCTCTGTATCATGGCTACAAGATCTTGAGGTGGATGAAGGAGGATTGTAAGATCTTGGCACACAAATAATATTAATAATTGAAGATATCAATAGCTAAAATCAAGAAAAACCACTCAAATTTGCTGAAGAGGAAAAGAATTATATACGCTAACGTACAGCATATATGAAGGAGAAGATCGTGTGTCAAACAAAGGTCGACAATCATAAAGAAAGAATGGTATTTGACATGAAAGCTTCTTTGAATATGCCAGAATGGTAATAGATTAGCATCTTACCAAAACACGGTCTAATATAAGCTGAATTATCAACTGCTCAAGCTCTTCTTTCTTAACATCTGGAAGTGGGTTTGCTGATTTACCTGGTTGAAAACAATTCTGAATGTTAACATAAAAAACCCCAAGAACACTAGCATAACTGTAACAAATGAACAAAAGACTAGCGAACAAAGTTACCACAGACATCAAAGATTGGTGTAGTCAACAATGACAGAATTCTAGTATGATAACCATTCAAATCTGGTTACGAATTATTAAAAAATTCAAGTTATGAGCTGAAAATTCAAAATACATCACTCAGAACAAGCCTTTCTCACTCAAACTTTGACCGGCTATTTGACACATGGCTAAGATTTGGAGAGAACATTCTAGGCCAGCTGTCAACAGGATTCCATGACCAGCTGCAATAGGATACCAACTATTCAAATTCGCAAAAATATTCTGAACATAGTCCATGGGCAACATAGAGGTTTTAAGCAGTAAACTAGGAGGACAGTAGGTGGACAGGAAAAACTGCCTCGTCGATCATACAGTTGAACCACATGCAATCCTTTGAAATTCTCCAAGAGCAACTAAGAATTGAAAAGGGAAGACAAGAGTTTTAATTTACTAGGTGAGATGCACGGGCATTGCACGTGGTCAAATATCATGATTGTTTGGTTTATTTCTTTAATATAACTTGTTCGTGAAATTGTTTCTTTTAAATTTCTACTTGATGATGTAATACTGTCTATGAACTTTCTTAATACTCACGTTTACGTACCTTCAACTTTCATTTTATATGTCGTTGTGACCATAGGTATTGTCAGCAACAAATCATTAGAAAAAATTAGTGACTCATGTAGCAGCCAATATGTTAATCCCTAATGACTATAAAATAAGAAAATCTATAAACATTTAATAAAAATCTCCCCATAAGTTTGCAAAGATAACCATATTCAACTATTAAGTTGCTCAATCCTTATTAATTTAAATGAATTCATCAAATCATTGAAATAGCTATTACATCTTTAATTCTTAAGTTCTTTTGATATTAGCACCTACAATCAAGAGTAAAAAATAATAATTAGAAGGAAACTAGTCCCTCGAATTGCTAATTATACCATTGATTTGAAGGAGTAATTTCAAAATAACTTAAGAATTGAGTTACTTAATAATACTTTCAATGCATTGACGGACTAATTTCAAAATATGAAAGATTTAAGGGACTAATACAAAAAAACATTTTAATCAATCAATTGTTGTTAACAAATTAATTAATTACAATTACATAATATGGAATGTATCAATTGGTTAATATTTACACGTGGAGTGCATCTTAGGTTTACAATGCTAATGTCCTCTTAGCTTTCTTTCTACTCTTTAGTAGTAGACCAATTCTAATTAGATTAATTTTTTATTAATTACTTTCAGATGGAGGGAACTTTAATTTGGAAGTTCAATTTTGACTTAATAGCTGTAGTTAATAACCAATTAATAATTAGAATAAGAATGTTAACATTAAAAAGGATTAGGGGTAAAACTGGTCAATGAAAGCTTTTCCAAAACTCCTACTTTTAAAGGGTGTATGATTTATTAATTTATTTATTTATCACTTACATTCACTTCTAAAGCATAGATAAGCAAAAATGATGCATGAAAAAAAAGAAATAAGATAAGATTTCAATTAGGATTTTATATTTAGGCCCTGTTTGGTTCAATTGAAATTGAAAGGAAAGAAAAGAAAATGAGTGAGAAAATCACATAAAACTGTTTTGTTAGATAGAAACGCAAAAGGAAAATGAAAATGGGAGAATTTCGAAGGAAAATAGGCTAAGATTTTCCCAATTCTTTTTCCTCTCCAGAACCCAGTGAAAGCTAAAGAAAATCTACCGGGGAGCAACCGAGCAAGGTAGACCCACACGATCAATAGCGGCGCATTGTTACCCATTCACTTGGTTCCATGTGGGGCCCACATGGGAGTATTAAATTGGTTTATGTACATAAAATAACTTAGTGGTTAAGAATAAGAAAGTGGTTATGACATATGTGAAGTTGAGTCCTCAAATTATTAGTCCTTTAAAATTTTCATATTTTTGAAACGAGTACTCAAATCATTTAAATTAAAATGGTTTTCTAAGAGCATCTCCAACCATAAAACTCAAAATGGTGTAGTTTTTACACTAAGTTGGTGTAGTTTTTACACCAAATCACTATTCCATCTCCAACCCATTACACCAAATGTTACACCAAAAAGAATATTCATTTTATTATTCTTATCTTTTAACAATTTTTAAAATTTAAAATATTTAACAAATTATATAATTATATAATTATATAATACATATAATTAATTATAATACTATATTTTATGAATAAAATAAAAATATAAAAATTAAATGCTAAATCAAATTAAAATATTACTTTCATAAATTCAACTAAAGATTATATTTAACATCACAAAAGAAAACATCACACTTGCAAGCAAAATAAAATAAAATAAAAGGCATTACATTTAACATAAAATAAAACACAAAGACACAGTCCATATTGATAAAATTCTAAGTCTCTGAATTAGTATATTCATCCCACAAATGATCAATTAATGCATCTCGAAGTGCAATATGAGCTTCTTTATTCTTGATTTGTCGATGACGAGCCAGAAATCCTTCAAACCGAGCATTTTCATCTACAACCATCTCTACGTCCGGAACTGGCGCTTCCTTTCAATTTTCAATTGTAGCATTAAGATCACGTTCATCCTCAATTATCATGTTGTGTATAATAATGCATGCAGTCATTATATCATATAATACTTCTTTTTTTCAAAAACGAGCTGATCCTGACACAATTGCAAATCGAGATTGGAGTACTCCGAATGCACGTTCTACATCTTTTCTGCATCCCTCTTGCTTCATTGCAAACAACTTTTTTTGGACCACGAGGATCATGAATTGTTTGTATAAGAGTAGACCATTTTGGATATATACCATCAGCTAAATAGTAACCCATGTTATAATGTTTACCTTGAATGACATAATGAGCAGAGCAGTACCTTCAGCGAGTTTTGCAAAAAGATGAGATGCCTCTAAAACATTAATGTCATTATTGGAACCTGGCAAACTAAAATATGCATGTCATATCCAAAGATCATAATCAGCTACGACCTCCAGAATAATAGTTGGGGATCCACTATGATCTGCATATTGGCTCACCCAAGCCGTTGGATAATTTTTCCATTTCCAATGTATGTACTCTAGACTGCCCAACATTCCTGGAAAACCTCGTTGTTTAGCAATATGTAGTAGTCTGGCAATGTCATTAGCGTTATGCGATCTCAGATATTGTTCTGCAAAAACCTCCACAACAGCACGACAAAATCTCTTAAAACTTTTGATTGCTGTCGACCCTCCTATTTTAATGTATTCATCAGTAGCCTCCGCTGGTAGACCATATGCCAATATTCGGAACACAACTGTAATTTTTTAAAGCATAGACAATCCAAGTCTACCGACCCCATCCCTTTGCTGTATAAAGTGTCGTGAGCTTTTATGACGTTAACCATGCGAAGGAATAAATCTCGAGACATTCGAAATCGTCGGCGGAACATCGAATCATTATATTGCGGATTCTCAGAGAAGTAGTCGTTGAACAGATTACGATCAGCATTTTCTCGATCACGGTTGATCACTATATGACCAGGAATTGAGCCTCCACGAATTACTTGGTTGTTTTGTTGATTGATATAGTAAGCCATGAGAAGATTGTTGTTGTTCCTCATGAGAAACACTGCTTCCCTTTCTGCATCAATCGCTTCAATATCATCTATCAATTGTTCATCTTCAATTTTATTATCAGAAAATGATGATGACAAATTAGAAGGATCTCTATTGTTAAAATTCATTTTTTGAAAATAGAGGTTTATGATTTTAGCAAACTCATCAATATGAGCTTTTATAATAGATGGAGATGATAAACGAGAAGTGTTGGAAGTTAAAATGTTGTCATGAAGAGTTGTCATGAAGTGTTGTCATGAAGTGCTAGAAGTTGATATGTTGTCATTGATGTGTCCTTTCTTTGAAATATTGTCATGAAGTGTTTGAAGTTGATATGTTGTCATTGAGATATCTTTTCTTTGAAATGTTATCATTAAGTGTTTGAAGTTGATAGGCTGTCATTGAGATGTCTTTTCTTTGAAATGTTGTCATGAAGTGACAGAAGTGGATATGTTATCATTGATGTGTCTTTTCTTTGATATGTTGTCATGAAGTGTTTGAAGTTGATATGTTGTCATTGATGTGTCTTTTCTTTGAAATGTTATCACTTTTATTTTTCATCTATAAATAACATATCATACTTCAAGAAACATACATCTTCTTCATTTGTGTTATAGATGACTTTAAATCAACGAAGTTCTTCATACACAAATGCTGAAGACTCACACCTCTGCCATGTATATCTTGATATTTCCCAAAATCTAATCATAGGTATAAACCAATCTAAGGATCAATTTTGGTCTCGAGTTGAGAGTGATTATCATAGCTCAATGCCTGCTTTTATCACTCAAGTTTGACCCAGAAGATCTTTGCAATGTCGAATGCAAACTCTCTTAACTGCAATTGGCAAGATAAGAGGATGTGTAAGACAGGTTGAAAATTTAAATCCAAACGGTGCTTCTGAACAAGATATTGTAAGTGTTATTTGTTACAAATATTTTTGAGATTTTATTTATGATTGAATTTTAATTTTATATATTTATATCATTTTGCAGTTCAATCGGGCTGAAGTGTTGTTTGCTCAGGATAAGAATTATAAGAAGGGATTCAAATTCAATCATGTATGGCCCATTTTGAAAGATATCAAAAAATTTACAGATGTTAATGCTAGAATTTAAGTGGGACGTATGCAACATGGTAACTTTGCATCATCACAATCAGAGTACTCTCCCACTTCAGACTCTCGGACGTATGCAACATGGTAACTTTGCATCATCACAATCAGAGTACTCTCCCACTTCAGACTCTCCCACACCAGCATCTCCTGGACGGTAACTTTGCATCATCACAATCAGAGTACTCTCCCACTTCAGACTCTCCCACACCAGCATCTCCTGGACAGGCTTCATTCGATTTTAATATGAATGACAATGATTTTGGTAGTACTTCAACTGAAAGACCTATAGGGGTACGGAAAGCAAAATTTAAAAAAAGAAATGATGAAGAAAGTTCTAAGTTTATGGAGTATATGAAAGAAAAGAATCAAAAAATTATTGCAATGATGGAAAAAAATAATGTTGATAGGCAACTAAATTATGAAATCCAAATGTTACGAGCTCAAACTGCGGCAAAAAAAGTGGACGTGGAAGAATTACGAGAAGAAAATTTAATTTTACTGAAAGATTTGACACAAGTAACTGATCCAAAACTACATGAGTTTCTTGTACAAGAACAATCAAGAATTATGCATAAAAGAACTAAACAATGTGAAGGATCTCAAAATACCGGTTCTGGTATTTTTGCCCAATATTTTGAGCATCTTCGTCCTTCTGATGATAATTTCCCAGAATACTAAAATGTTGTTTTAGTTTATGTTCAATGTTCTATTTTTCTTTAATTTTAATGTAGTGCAATTAGTGTTAATTTTCAATGTTGTTTTAGTTTATGTTCAATGTTCTATTTGGTTCTAGTATTATGCAATTAGTGTTAATTTTCAATGTTGTTTTAGTTTATGTTCAATGTTCTATTTGGTTCTAGTATTATGAAAATTTAAGTGTTTGGATTAAACTATCTATTTTTTTCCATTGTTGAATTTTATTTTAATAATTATTTTATACACTAATTTTATTATAATAGTTCATAGCAAAATAATTAAAAAAAATTAAAGCTACAATGTAATATTTTGATCATGAATAAAAGGAGAAACATTAAAAACCATCAAGAAAATAATAAAATAAAAAAAAGGTTACTGCGCTAAAGCTACAGTGCTGCGCCAAATCTGGCGCCGCACTGAAGCTCTCCCCCAAAATGACGCTGAGAATAGAGTTCGGTTGGAGGATGATTTGGTGCATTTTTTGAGTCAAAATGACAGTTTAGCTACCGGTTGGAGATGCTCTAAACATTAGTCCCTTAAAATTTTCATATTCTGAAATAAGTTCTCAAATCATTGAAATTGCTATTAGGGCCTCCAATTCTAATTATTTAAAATTAGTTCAAAATAATTGAAATTGCTAGTAGGTCCCTAATTCTTGTAAGTTTTCAAATTAACCTATCTAATTGCTACTTATATTCTTCATTGGAGGGACTAATTCAAAATAACTGGGGAACTAAGGGGCATAGTAGCAATTTTAATGATTTGGAAGACTAATTTCAAAATAGGGGGAATTGCATATTAGTCCCTTATATCATCTCTAGTTGCCAAATAGTCCCTCAAATCTCATTATTTGCTTATTAGTCCCTTAAATCTTCAGTTTTCATGACGGTCCTTCTGTTAGAAAAACTGTTAACTTCTCTTACTCTAGTTGAGTTAATGCTTAACCCAACAACTCAAGTTACCTTATTGCCCCTGGAGTATACATTTATTGAGTTAATGCTTAATCTAACAACTCAAATTACCTTATTGCCCCTAGAGTATACATTTCTCTCCCAAGTTTTGGGTTTAGAGGGAAGCTAGCCATGAGAATAACCTCAATTTTGGGTTGGGGGAAGCATAAGCCCATTGGAGAAGAAAGGTGTGTTTGAGTTAGTATAGGTGGGGTTACAATGGATATTCTACCTAATTTTGTCACATTTAACAGTCATTAAGAACACCACCTAACACGAAGGAATGAATTGGCAAGAAAAGTGAAGATTAAGGGACTAATAAGCAAATAATGAGATTTGAGGGAATATTTGGCAATTAAAGATGATTTAAGGGACCATGATTTAAGGGACCATGATTTAAGGGACCAATATGCAATTAACCCTTCAAAATAACTTAAGAATCAAGGACCTAGCAGTAATTTCCACGTTTGAGGGACTCATTTTAAGAACATATTTCAAAATATGAAATATCTAGGGGACTATCAGAAAAATGCAATTAAAAAATCTATATTTTTAATTTTTTTTTGATGGAAAAAATCTATCTTTTAGTAACTAAAGGAAAAAATTGATATCAAAACAATCTACAACAAGTCATATATTGAGGAATGAAGTTTTTACACATATGACAACGTATTTTAAATTGATAATTGCATTTATTTATATATTAGTATGTTCTATATTATTTTGTTGACTAGTAAACAAATGAGATTGTTTGTTTATCATTTTCTTGTAGATAACTACTGATTCATAGTTTGTTTAACATTTTTCATGGATTTCCAATTATACTCCTTTATTATAGCGACTCCAAACCCAATCTTTAAAGTTGGCAATTTTATTGATTTATGTATTATTTATTTTAATTCAGTATTTTTGTTTATATTAATTTTTCAATTGCTTATACTGATTTGTATATCTTCATTGGCATTTTTTGTATCACTTTAATCGATTAAAATTAATTGTGAAATAATTTTCATGTTTCTTTCCCTTCCTATTTAATATTTAATTAAATAATTCTCTAGAAGATCTTTTTTTTAATAAAAGACCGACAACACTTGTATGAATTCTAGTCAAGAAAAGTAAATTAAAAAATTAACATAGATTATATATAACATAAGTCAATTGTAGTTTTACTTCATTTTTATCACACTACTACTATTTTCTTTCGAACTTTCTTTTCAATTCTCTTTGCAACCAAACAACAAATAGAATCTTATTTTCTTTTCTCTTTTTTTCTTTTCTTTTCACTTTCCTTTTCTTTTCTCTCTCTTTCCTTCAAACCAAACATAGCCTTAAGAATTTGATTTTCCCTTTAATTGAGACATTTTTAGTCAAGGTACTTAAGATTTGTTATTTAGTTGTATCAATTAGTTAGGATATTTATTTAATTTTATCTGTTTGCACTGCTATAAAGAAGATCATACTTTTTTCATTTTACGAGAGAAGACTGATGAAAACTCAATATATGTGAAATGCTCTTTATATAAGTTGTACCTAGTCTTGTTTTAGCATGTGACTTACCCCGGTGCGAGGTCCAATCTTTTATTTTTTTTCTTAATTAAACCATGAGTGCAATTTCAACATTTGGAGCTTTTATTTTATTTTGCTTTTCCTATATCCAAATAATTCCCTCAAACAATCTCCACTAATCTAATCCCCATCACAAAGAACATACTCCTAACTTCCACCTTGCATCAGAAAGAACACATCCTGTTGTACTTTCCTCTATTTTTGTGTGCTTGTGTATGCTTTCCATGGGCTTGTCTTGTAAACACACATCAAGTAGTTTTGACTCGTTATAGTTTGGTTGCAAATTCAAATACAAATTTTATCACCATTCTTCAAAACCAGCAGTTCACAAAGGTAGATATTGTAGGTAAAGAAATTGTTGAATAACCAGTTTGGCCGAAAACTTCAGATGAGTAGTGGGCTAGCGATTAATATCAAAACAAAAACAATAATAATACCCCCCCCCCGCACCCGTTCCTCTCTGGCCCCCCAGATATCCAGTTTCAGCCACATAGAGAAGCTTCAAACATTAACAAGAGTTGGTTGGAAAGGGATAAAATGGGAGTTGCAGCCATATTTTGAACTTCCAAAGATTACAATCCAGAACCACTTGAATATAGTGCTCTCATACTAGCAAAAAGCCGCATTAGCACTTAAATATTACATGAAATTTAGTTGTTCTTTATATCTGGAGGATATTCGATCTCTATATTTGTTTATAAATTTCTAGTTTACTTGTTCATTTCTTTGAATTTCCACTTCTGATCTATCATGTACCCGGAATCCAATTTCATTATATTCCCCAGATGATTAAGATTTATCTTACATGTCATGGCATTGAGCTCAATTATGGTCATCTTGCTATAAGCTACCAGCTAGGTTGTATGGATATGGGTGCAGGTGCAGACACAGATAAGGACATGGGGGACAACAAATTCGTAAAAGGCAGGATACATGGAAACCTAGACACACACACATGTATATATAAAATATTTACATTAGACCAAATATTGAATGAAATTACCCATAATATTTGTATGTTTCTTTTACTATCTATAACAATTAACAATTAAGAATCTAGTTTAACCAAACAAAGATTTATGGTTTAACAACAAAAGTTTAGTTTTGGTAGTATAGGATACAATTGGTATTTTTCAAATCTCTAAGTAATGTTTTGGTCTTCGGGTTCAAGAACCTATTGGTTTTGAGCTTGATATACCAAAGAAACTAGTTTGGTTTTGAGCTTGATATACCAAAGAAACTAGTTTGGGGTTATTAGTAGTTGGGAAATCAGGTTTTGCTTTAAACCACACGTGTGCATTAAGTGTCCATGATGAATCCATGTCTGACATAGTGACATGTGTCTGACATGGATACAACACCCAAAACAAAGTGTCAACCTAGACTACCAGTTATTATGCTGTCCCGTTTCATGTAGACAATGTGATTCTTTCCTAGATATATTTAAGAAATAACTAGTTATATTTGTCTGATCTATTTGCATAGTTTTTAATGCCCAGTGTGATCAAATCTTGGGGAAGCAAACATTCTAAATTTACATTGTAGGAGGCGACTAGCCTAATAATATTTTTCATGGATCACTAGCAAATAACACATGCTTCCAAGTTTTCTTGTAAACCAGAACACTTACACAGTTTTCTTGTGTTGTACTTGACCAAAATTACAGAATGTCAGAAACAAAACAATCTCAATTGATATTGTATGAGGTGACTAGTATTATTAAAACTTCTAATCGTTTACTGGCAAAACTCTCTGTCCCATGGTTTCCTGATGACCCAGACAGCTTATATAGTTCTGTGTCACAAGCAAACGACAAGCACACCTCGAATAATTTGCATATTCTGTTAGCATCTTATAAGTTCATATTTTGTTTTGTGAGCTATAAAGTCAGAATAGAAAACGAAGGAATACTCAAAACAAAATTTTGATACGATTATCTACCTAATTCCTTCATCTTCCCTTTGAATTTGTCCACTAACTGCAACATTGTTGCCCTCTGATCATTTTCTTGAATGTCGTGTAGTAACGAGACTAAAACTTTTGCATGATCTGAAAAATTATAACCAGTTAGCAGTGTGTACAACAAATTTGCAGAAAACAAATTAATCATAATCATAACTGATGGAAACCATCATCCTTAGCCAAAAATTTAACAACACCGGTTCGCTTGGAATGCATCTCTAAATTTAGAAGGCTCCATTAAAATAGAAAACTTTACTACTAACAACCAGTTAACAGACCAACTATCAGAGCTGGTTTACAAGTAACAGAAACTAAGAGTGGTTGAGGTGGCGTTACATCGAAAATGACACGACTGATTGGTGGGCAGCAAACCAACATGGAATTACACTCAAATATTCTCTTCTTTTCAAGAAAAATCATACTCTACAGCATAAAAATTTTGTTTTTTCCAACTTTATAAAGCTATCATGAGCGATACTCAAAGTTCTGAATGACCATTTGAAATCTACCATATGGAAACATGAAATATAATAAACCTTAACATCCTAAAATAATCCAATAAGGAGTGCATTCTAAACTTAAAAGTAAAATCTCAATTCTCAGATGCTCAAAATGGAAGGCCATGAAGCTAGTTACACAAAAAGGAATTAACTCAGTAAATTCCTCCAATGAAGTAGGATGAGAAAAATATTCAATTATAAATAAATAAACGCATAAGACACCTCTTTCAGAATGTTGGTTAATTAAGGAACTACATTCACACAAAAAAAAAAGTAGCAGAAATGAGAATGTTAAAGTAGATGTGTGGTTAATAATAAATGAGCGCATTTGTAGGAAATTAGAGATTGTTGCCATCAAGAATAAAATAAGAACGGGTAAATGCACGGACTAGAAGAAGTGTAAGATTATAACTAATGGAGCAAGGATAACTAGAAGGCCAAAAGAACTTGCTTGGAAGCAATCAAGAAAAATTATCATAGTGGTTAACATAAAGGACAAAATAGCCCTTAAAAGAACTGAATGGAAAGAATAGGATTCATATAGCCCATCCCAAAAAAAATTCATAGAGGCCTTTTTTTTTTCTTTTGTGTGTAAGATCTGTTTCAATCATATTGCAAATAACATGGTAACCGAAAGGAACAAAAGAAAATGGAGTTTACAGATTAAATTAATAAATAAAATGAGCAATATCGCCACTCGATCTGCTATGATGATAGTTTCCAGAGCAGCAACTTTAGAATACTAAGAGATACACAAGTAGTTTTAGCATTCAAAGTAAATTCAGCTGCTGGATGGAGAATGAACAATAATTAGTAGGAGACCCACAACAGCTTTTTTGGGATTTATATATGAGCAAAATGCTAGACAGTATTGCACAATACATCGACCTTTATAAAACCAGATTGGATATATTTTAAGTCCTGAACTGATATGAGAAGGTTGTATGAGAATATACTATTTAAGAGTCAGATCAAAAAAATAATATGAGAGGAAAAGAGAGAAAAGTAAGACAAATGAAGGAGATACAGATCAAGCGTGGTAAATTTGGTTGAAGGAATAGAATGTCTGAATAAGAAAAATAAAGGGTAGTCAAAAGATAAGATCGGTTGTCTTCTGCAGATGAAAGCACCATAGTTTCTCAACTTCTTTTGACATTTTGTTTTCCTCCTAATTCATAGAGGATCTACCAAGAGAAAAGCTTAGCAATTCCTAAATGTAAACACATTACGTTGCTTTTAAAACCATGAAGGCATTCTTCTTCAGTGATGCCTAACAAAACAAGAAGGCACACTTAACTTCACCTAGCACAAAAATAAACAAGAACAAGAACAGAGAAAAGAAATAATGTTCCAACAGTAATGAACATTAACAAGATACGTGAGTTTATGAATTATGCTGGTTCGTGAAAAAAATAAGGGATTAGAGCATAACATGAAACCGAACAATGAAAATATCCATAAACTACCGTCTTAAAAAGGAACATTATCATACAAGTGACATCTACTTCCTTGAGCTCCTTTTCATATGCACAGTTGTCACACATTCCTGAAATACAATCACAAGCTTTAGAAAGCACTCCAGAGATATATGAAAGACTGTCAAAAAGCCAATAAATCTCCAAATATGACAACACCATTGCAGTCCTGTAGAGGCTCCCCAAAATGCCGAAAGAAAGCACCTCGTCTGCAGGTTTTCCTAGACTGAGACGAGTATTGAGGAATTAGTCACTTAAACTGTAATGTTAAGCATAAATTCAATATTTAGTATGTTAAATTCCCATAATCATTATTATGATTGTTCCTATTCTTTATCAATTTCCTTAGAAATTGGAAAACTAAAAAACCATCAATGATATATTCTTCTTATATCTGGTGCACATATGTGTGTGTGCGTGTGTGTGTGTAATATTGGGAGGAGAGATGAATCATTTAACCAAGAAAATAGCAAAATGAGAAGAGGAAGAGCTTCAAATATATTCACTGAGGCACAAATTCAATATTTAGTATGTTAAATTCCCATAATCATTATTATGATCGTTCCTATTCTTTATCAATTTCCTTAGAAATTGGAAAACTAAAAAACCATCGATGATATATTCTTCTTATATCAGGTAAGCATATGTGTGCGTGTCTATGTGCGCGCGCGCGTGTAATATTGGGAGGAGAGATAAATCACTTAACCAAGAAAATAGCAAAATGAGAAGAGGAAGAGCTTCAAATATATTCACTGAGGCACTGATATTCTACCTGGCAGTATCTCGCCATATCATACAGATTTTGCAGTCCACAATTCTCGTAGAAGACCATAGAACTCTGTTTAGGAAGTCAATGTCTGTTTATTAGCCAAAAGAACTAGTGTGAAAATTAAGTAATTTGAATCATCAACCTTTCAGAAGTTCACCTGACGTGGAACATCACCAGGTCTGAAGTACAATACGCACTCTGAAGGAAGTCCATCTCTCCCAGCTCGACCACTTTCCTGCAATCACAATAAGTTCTCAAAGAATAATCTTTGATAGAGATAGATATGCAGATTGAAGATACCTGATAGTATGTCTCCATTGACTTACTTAAACTGTGGTGAATGACAAACCTGACTAAAGACAAATAAGGAAGCATTTAGCAGATAAAATACTAATAAACGTCAATAACTAGAATGATACAGTGATGCCCTTAGCATGCTGCAAATGTAGACAAAAAAGGACTCATAACATAGAGTGTGCATGAATCCACTAAAATAATCAATGCAACCTCATATGCTCACACATGTGCATAGTTACATACATGCATGTCGCAATTTACTTGTAACTGTTTACTTTCTAAAAGTGGTCTCATGTCCAACAGTTCATTAATGTTCATATCAATTAATGCTTCTTTAACAAAATGTTTTTTGGTTGTTTAGCTCATAGTTGCCTGGGCCCTGAATTTCATATAAATATGGAGGGTTGATATCAAGATAGCATGTTACTACAAATTTCGTTCGTTTAATTGTGAAGCTTATTTGCTTCGATTCATGCTCCAGCAGTCATGTTTTGGTGGGAAAGGGCCAAGTCTAGTAAGGATAAAGTGGTTACTAAAAAAACGTGTTCAAAAAGCAATTTAAGATTTGAACACAGTATATAATGAGTAAAACTACCATCTGGCTTATTAATTCCCATCCCAAATGCCACCTGCAATGTAATTAAGAATTTATCAACATGCTTACCACCAACCATCAAATAAACTGACAAATGCAGAAAGATCACACACTTACCGTGCCAACAATAACCTGCAACTTGTTATTACTCCAGCTGTACAAAAAAAAAGCAAACACATATACATCAAGGGACTACTGTACGCAGTAAAAAACAATAAATGACAGAATCTGATGAAATTTTCAGTATGAAATTTTCTTTAGCTGGAAAATGAAATTTCAGTCTCAATTCTAAATTTACCTGATCAACTTAGGGGGTGTTATTCGTTCCGGATTATTGATTTGGACTCGGAGATTTGTCCACGAATCCTACATACTTGAACTGGGACCTGGACTAGGATTTTATGGTTAGACCCCCGGATTCTTGAATTGGATTTTGATTTTCTTGGTTTGGATTCTTGAACTTTTAGTTTGGATTCTTGAACTTTTGCTTTGGATTCACAGACTGAGGGTCGGATTCTTGGACTAAATTTTAGATTTGTGGATTATTTGCATTAGGAGTTTCAAATTAAATTATTATGTTAAATAATAATCATTAACAAAAAATAAACATTAATTTGAAAGACCACCCTCATTGCAATTAATGGATTACAACAACAAAACTAAATACATCTTGCAATTCATTTAATCAATTCAAACAAAATGTATGAAATATAGTATTAAATATTTGAAATATAGTATTAAATATTTGAAATATTTATATATTTAAGAAATTTTAAATAATGAGCATATCTAAGTTAATATTAAATATCAAATATATTAAGTGATTAAGTAGTATTAAATATATTTCATTTTAAATGAATTAAATAAATTTATTATAGAATTTAATTAAAAATATTTTAACATTAACTACACTCAATGTTAATAAATAATAACTTTAAAATATGTAATAAATATGTAATATTGTAAAATTAAATATATTTAATTTAAAATATCTTAAATATTTACAAAAGCAAAGAGAAGAGAGAGGAAATCCGCATAATAACATCACAATCCATCAATTTTAACTTGGACTTTTTATTAAAAAAAAATTCATTAAAACCTATAGAGTTAGAATGGAGTGTGGATTTTGAAATCATAATCCTAATAATAATCCTAGACAACCAATAACTCCTTAAATTCAAATCCAGATCCTAGTCCTAAACCAATAACATATTAAATTCAAATTCAAATCCTAGTCCTAAACCAATAACACATTAAATTCAAATCTGAATCCTAGTCCTAAACTAATAACATCTTAAATCTAAATCCATATTCTAGTCTGAAATGAATAATACCCTAAATTGAAATCCAATAAAAAGTCCGAGTCCAAATCAACAATCCTTAACCAGTAACCCCCCTTAATTTTATCTTGTTCACAGTCCAACTGACAGAAATTGGTTTCATATTTTAACTTAACATTTTGATAGGATCCTATTGCGGTTTCTTAACTGGCATCATCATCTAATAATCAGACAATTCATTCAGAGTTAGGCGACTTTGATAAAAATATAAACCAGAATTTCCAAGTAGTTATTCAAAATGTTAATCCGTTATCACTTTAGCTGCAGGTAAGGAACTACAAATTGGACTTGAATTAACGTTCAATGACCGTCCTTTTACCAATATGTTGCGCATGTGTTTCAGAGCATTAGGATTTGTCCATAAATCCTCCAAACTATCTAGTCAGTCACTTCTTGCTTGGGAACATAGAGCAGTTTTAAGTAAAAGAGAACAAGTAGATCAAAAAATGTGGTTTGATGTTCTAGTTATGCTGGTACCGACTATAAATTGCAGTAGAACCAAACTAGAGTAGCAAATAAAAACTTCATAAGGATGCTTTGGCATCTTTTGACCAGTGAATTCAATTTTCAACATTTCATTCTAATAGTAATCACAACGAAAAGACAATGCCTTACCTCTAGCACAACCTTTCTATGCTATTTTTGCATTACACAGCCCTTCTAGATATCAGAATGAGGAGGTCTTTCATCAAATGAACTAAATATTGGAAATTTTGAAGTATAGCCTTTGTAGCATGCCCAACACTGCAAATGTTCGAGTCCATGTACTCTTCAATTTATTTAATAATCATCACCTCAGTTTATACCTACTAGTGACCCCTACAAAGACAAATGAAATATCTTGCCAAAGTTATTTTTTAGCAAATAACATATAATTACTTTTTTGCAAAAGTTCCCTTGTTACACTTCTAACCAGCCAGTTTCACTAAGAAGCAAGAACGGAGAACCCCGCTTTTAAAACAACATTAAGTGGTCATACTACCTTTCATGTAATTAAATCTTCCTAGTTCTTCCCCTCTTTTGTTTATTATAGATCAATTTCAACACAAAGTAATTGTCAATATAAAGACAATCTTGATGATGCAACCATATCCACATTCAGTAGTCTACATAAAGAAAATATAACTCATGGAAGAAACACACAGCAATAGTAAAGGAGGTTGGTGGGTGAGTTATAAGTAAGTTTGAGGATGCTTAAGATTTGTGGAACAGAACCTGATTGATTAGTCCACCCTTATTCAACTAAACAGAAAACATACCGTAGATGAACTTTCTCTCGTTCAACTACATCCATGTCTGCATGGTAATAATTTGCTAGAATCCCACGCTCATGCAATTCCTTTGCAACCTAGATTTTCAATAAGGTCAACAAAGGTTATGATAATTTAAGAAACAACATGCAAGAAAGTTGAGCAAACAGATCCAAAATCTTAATACACAATAGGAGAAAAACTATAGCGAGTTTAGTGCTTTAGGAAACAGGTAAAATGTCTAACCAATGCTAAAGACCCAAGGTAAGTGCAAAATATATGTCGCAAGGAGGCAAGGTTCAACCT